ATGGGAAACCTTAACAACTAAGAGGGTTAAAAACAGTACCTTAAGGCGAAAGTAGTGTCGCTAAGGGGAAACTTAAACCCTAAGAACATGGTGTTAAAGTTCACAAATATCAGCAGTTTTTGTAGATTATGGTAATAAATATTGCTAAGAAAAATGTTAAAGTAAGAGGTGAAATATATTATTTTAATTCATTCTTTGCATCCATTTTTTACTTCATCATACAATAGACAACTACAAAAATGATTGAAAATAGCTTGCTTCAATTGTGAACAGAATCATATGATGCAAATTATTATTACTGTTATAAAAATCAATTAAATGCAAATTATAGCCTATTGTAGTGGACGGAGATACAAGTCACGAAAACGAGTTCAAATTTCCATAAACCTTTATTGAACACCGTTGCTATAATTTAAAGATAAAAATATAACATAGCAATGCAAATTCTATCCAATCTAATCCAGGCATATTGTCAATATATACCAAGGTATATATCCATACGTAGACTTAAAACGATTATATTATGAATTATACTAAAATAAAAGAAATAGTACAAACATAGTTGTATTACAGAGTTTCGATTAATTAAATCTAGTTCCTATATTCCTATAAGTAATAAACACCGTGCTATGTTTATAATGATTACGTCAGGACTCGAAACGCTGCCTTAAATAACGCACCCTAATCAAGAGATGTACCATAAGAGGTACATTCTTATTGACGTATTATCCTATACCGTACTTTCATTGTATTAATGTATAAGTTAATCATTCTTATACATTCCTATATGCCTTGTAGACATTACGAATTAACAAGCAATGTAGGCCACAACCTACAATCAACCACTACCGCAATATAGTGTAATACTACTAACGATTTACAGTATTCCTGCATGGTTGCTGTGTACATAGCATAATCCTTCATAAATTGTCTACTAATAACTATAACTGTTGTAAGTGAGGTATGATTCCTACCATGAATTTTTGCTCCCTCACCCCGTAGACTACAATAGCTTCAGACCTACCTGAATCCAAAAATACTGCCTTTTTAATCCTCCTAAATATTGCTACCAGTCATTGTAACATACAATATTACTACTACCTCTAAGCAGCAAAAAGACACTCTTTTCCCTAATTTATCATCTCCCTGCTCCTTCTCTTCTAACTACAGGTATGTAAGATAGTTACCACAAGTTGTTTCATCCATATCTATGGGGGCGCTCTCGGTAACGCATAACTCCTTAGGCATAGATTTGGGAACTATTATAATTTTCTTTTGTTAAAGACTGTGAACCCCCGGTTGTGACATGTCCACAAGATCAGAATCTGGATGGTGGTGAATCATGTACCGCTACTGCCAACTGGGATTCCCTAGATGTGAGTGACAACTATAAAGATGATCTTATTGCTGTTTGTGATTATACAAATGGTTCCGTATTTCTTGAAGAGAGCACAAATGTGACTTGCAATGCTACTGATAAGTTTGGTAACACAGGGAGTTGTTCGTTTACTATTTACATTATTAGTAAGTGGTTTGGTAGACTTTTTTTTCGTTTTCTTTTAATAAACTTTATTTATATAAATCATTATCATTGGCTTGGTCTAACAGTTTACTTTATGGATACGGCCACTGTTCTGATGAGGAAAAGCATATTGTAATTGTAGTGTGTTCATGTGGCACCATAGGACTTATTGTTATATTTTCTTTATGAGGCCAACTATTGTTCAAATTATATATTACACACACACCCCATATACACACCCCATATACACACACCCACACACACACACACCCACACACACACACACACATACACACACATACATATATATATATATATATATATATATATATATATATATAATTATAATATTCATTTCTAAATGAGATATCAGAAACAACCTATTATATCATTATTATCATTCTAAGCACGTTTAAATAAATTATTAAAATCTCACCGTATTGTACAAACGTAATTCATCGCCCTTTAATTGAACAATAGTGTTTGACTGAACATGTGGCCTACCGTAACCTTTTTCTTGGTAATAGTATAAATAATAAAAAGTAGGATGTTTCCAACAATCAGATATTGTTTTTTTGCTCTTTCAAGAAAGCCTTTGCATTAACCACACATGTTTATGAACACCCATACACTGCAATTTATATATTAACACCTAATTATAATATAATATTACTAATGAGTTGTCAGTGTGTTTTTATAAATTATTTCTATACTAAACAGCTATTGATCTCTGTCAAAACTTAAGCTGCAAAAATGGGGGAACGTGTGTTCCTTATTTTGATAACTGTACCGCATCATGCACATGCAGACCATGTTTCAGTGGAGATTTATGTGAAGAAAGTGAGTAATATACTTTCACTCTACCTACTTCTTACACTCGCTGTATCTTGAAATGTAATTAATTTTATATAGGGCCTACTTCTAAATTTATTAATTATTGATATCAAAATTATCATAATGCATTACTATTACAGTGGTGTAACGATGGGGCTCTGAAACTGAGACCCTATTCTTGGTCCCGGTCGGCTATTCAATTGTGAGAATTTAGATGTCGTCGTTTGCAATCATGTTTTTAACGACGAAACAAATAATATATTAGTGGCGGATGCAAGAATTTGTAATGTAGGTGGGGTTGGGGTGTGCATGGGCAGGGAGGAACTTTCACATATGGAGGGTCTATACCACCTCAGCCCCACCGTGGTTGGCGCTGAGGTACGAACATTAATTATGATTGTGCCAACTTAAAATTCATATATATATATATATGTATGTATATATACTTATATATACAGTATAGGCATATATATAGACATAGGCCTATATATATGCCTATATATATATACAATATGTATACATATGTAAAGTAGGTTGTATGTATATAGCGCCTTATACAATAGATAAATCATCTCATGACGCATAAGTAATAAATAGTAAAATAAAATAACACATATAACACCAGGAAAGAGTGATTTACAAGGCTAAAAACATAAGATATATTATCTGTGAAACTACACGTAAACCTCTCTTCTTTGAATTAATGAGAACAGATGTTTGAAATTATGAAGTAAAAATAATTACATCAAATTGGTGCTACCCAGATTCAAACTCGGGCCGCTATGATACTTCACTTTACTCTCAGCAGTATGCCATTCAATATCGGGCTGCTACAATAATGCATTATACTCTCAGCAGTATTCTACTCAAACTCGGGCCGTTATGATACGACGTCGACCTGCCAACATTTTAGAAATAATAATGATAAGCAAATTCTTGAGCTTTCTGTCGAAACAAGTTGTAAAAAATGTGGACCAAGAAATTACCTTAACTTTTAAACAAAATATCCTACCATAATACTATAAAACTCGGCCCACTTCACTAATAAAGCTTAAAATTTTAATTTATATATTGTTATATTGAACATTTTAAGTAATTTTATGTAAATAAAATTAAATCTATTATGTCTATTTCTAAGTAGAAAAGAATGGCAAATAATATTATAAAAATGTTATATTTTTCAAATGATTTCTGCTTAAAATATATGTACACTAATAGATAAAAATGTATTAAATATTTAAGTGCAATATTATAAATGGTGAAGCACCATGAACTGATAATCTAATAAATATGTTCATATAAAATTTTGCACCAATGAAATCATGATTATACAGAATTTACCTCTGTTTCCATCTCAAAAACTTCTTGAATGAACTTTTCTGTATGACCTGCAATCTGAGTCTGCATGACTCCACTAAAAGAGCCTTTTTTAGTATGTGTTGACAGATTTGTCAATTTATTAACTAAACTTCTCTAACTTTGTCATATCCCTACAGTGAGTATACTGTATGCAAACCACATAGATAACCTCAAGTATCATTACTGATACTCAAACAGTTTCCATCTACAAATTATCTTAAAGCCCAATTCCCGGCAAAATTTTACTAAAAAAAATATTTTAGAAAAAATGCATGTGCATTACTTTAATTATTATAAACCGTAAAAAAAATATAGGCATAGATTCTATTTTTACGCAAATTATAAAGAAAAAAGCGAAATAGAGACTATTTCTCATAGGAGATTACCATTTTCTCGACAACTTCTTCGTTAACCTCGGTTTCCATAGAATCGCTCACCCTGTCGGCGATAGTCGCCGACAGTCGTCGGGAAGGTTGAACCTGGTTTAACTTCGCCGATTGCGTTGCAGGCAAATCAGGGTGCATTGCCAGCTGCCCTGACGCAAAAGGGAAGCCACCCCGACTCATTTGAAACGCAATCGACTCAGTACAGGAGACATGGCCCAGGCCTAGACCATCGTCTCGTGAGCTGTCTGTCACACGACCGTAGCAGGACACTATGCCTTAACCTGCTCGCTAACGTCGGTCATCTCTCCTCTCTCTTATACACATCTAGATGTGTATAAGAGACAGTGCCTAAAGGCTTGGAGTAACTGCCATCATACTGAATGGTACCTTTGGTCTTTGATCGTTATAAAATATGAAAAATTCAAGAGCAAAACCAATATCAAAATACGAGATAACCGCGGAAGGAGCATTTGAAAAACGACAGGACAATAACTGTCTCTTATACACATCTAGATGTGTATAAGAGACAGATATAATATATATATATTCCTTTATTTATTAATTTTATATACTTCAAAATTTATTGATTACTGATATCAATGTTACTATAATGCATTACTATTACTACAGTGGCGTACTCTAACGATGGGGCTTTCTGAGGCTGAGGCCATTTTTTACCCCGGTCGGCTATTCCATTGTGGGGTTTTAGCACTGATCGATCACTACTATAATAGCTGGATTGCTAATTAGCTGGTTTTAGTGAGGCCACCAAACTTCATGTTGGGGTGCCTAAGTGACGTGCCAGTTTAGACAAGTATCTTTTGGCATCTTTGTTTAAATTGCTGTTAAAAATAATTATTCTTTCAATACTTTTTTAAAATAAATTTAAATTCAACGTAATGATTATTTTTCAAATCACCTAACCGCTTGACTTGACTGTTTATGCAGTTTTAAAAAGCTCAAGCAAAGTTATTTGCGTTGTTAGTGATCGACGTCACTATAACAACGCGGCTCCTCCCGCAGTTGTAAACTGCATAAACAGTCGCGTCCAGTTGTTAGATGATTTAAAAAAAATAATCTTAGGTTAAATTTAAATTTATTATTATTGAAAAATATTGCAAGAATCACTGACCACCACACGAGGGCGCATGCGTTACTCCACTCATTTTTGCATTGGCTTTTTCACACATAGTCTCAGTTAGTCTTTAGTTCTCCACCAATCAGCAGCACGTCTCACTAAAGATCCTGTCTGGATTCTCTGCAGGTTTTATTCTCCTGAAGACGATTGAAGCTACTCAATCGAAAAGTCGAGACATTCTCAACAAAACAACAGTTCTTTTCAGAACTCTCTACGTGGTGTACTGCAAACTTTAAATATATTAATAATTCGCCATGAAAACCTCTCAATATTGATATTTTTTATTATTATATGTATTGTTATTAAATCTGATCTTTTCAAATTAATTAATCAATATTACAGTGTGTATTTAATTTCTTCTTTTTAGCCATAGATATATGTAGCAATGTCACATGCCAGAACGGTGGTTCGTGTATTCCTAATCTCGACACATGTACAACATCATGTACAGGCTACAGGTGTGGAACAAGTAAGTTTAGTTTTGAAGCACGGTTACACATACCTAAGACTACTGCGTGAAATCTATTTATCTGATCATCTTAAAATCCAAAAATACAACAACAAAAAATAATACAAAACGGTTTATCCGATGTAAAATGTAATTCTTTTATAACCTTTGAAATATACATAAATATAAGTAAACTAATAAACCAATATAGGAAGGAGCTGAAAAATAGTGGAAACACTAATCAAGTCTTGCCCCTTCCCACAGTTGTATATATCGCTAAGTCATAAAATAGCTATTCGCTGATGTTTTTAGATTATTATTAATAATATTTTATGCTTAAGAGATATTTATTTCTTGTATACAAATTACTTACCCCTCTTAAGAGATAGTGTCGTAATCTGTGGCTTTCTACTTTACACGATTGTCTGAAATTTCTTTCAAAACAAATAAATTTCGAGTGCTTTTAAATCACACTTGCACACAACTTTACAACCCATTTGGGGCGACCAACTAATATATTTCTTGATGTTAGTTCACCCATGGAGGTATAAAATATTTTTATACCTCCATGGTTCACCATAAAAAATGTCCTTTGGTATACGACAACCTCCTTACGGCGCAGTCGACGTTGCTGCAATTAGGTGTCTAAAGTGCCAGGAGCAAAACACGTTGCTGACAGGAAATTTAAAGAATGCGTCGCAGTCAGCCAGGGTGAGACAGGGCCCCCCCGTCTAGGAGCGCTGTCCCTTCCCCCTCCCCAGTCGAGGAGGGAATTCACAATTTGTCGTAGAGAAAAAAAATTACATATATTCTCTACATATTAGTAGACAAATCCTGGCGCCACTGCAGACAGGGCAAATGGAAGCTGTTTTAGTTTCTTCTGCTGGGGTCTCCAAGACTTGCAACCATACAATAATGTACTGATAACGCAAGCATTGTATACAGTGATTTTTGTATGTTTTGAAAGCCTGTTGTTTTCTCAGACACGATTTTCCAGTACCCTTGTTCATCTTTACTGCAAGAGAAAGGTTGTCAGTTATAGTTGATCCTAGATGGACAAACTCCCAAACAACTTCTAATTCATAGTTGTCGACGTGGGTAGTAGTTTGGTTTAATACTTCGGTTTTCGTTATTCTGATCACCAGTCCAAAGTCTTCCAAATGCCTTAAAAAACAGAACAAACTTTTGTATTTTCTCGGAGGTGACTGAGGTTGAAAAGTCGCCCGTCTGATCTGCCATGGAGATTGATGCCTTCCATTGAAGATCTAAATGTTTATTTCAGCAGAAGGAAGACGAATATTCCAAGCTAAAACACATCCTTGCTTTACTCCGCTCCGGATGTTGAAAGGCTTGGAGTAACTGCCATCATACTGAATGGTACCTTTGGTCTCTGTATGGAAGGAACGTAACAGATTATTATTTTTTCAGAGGGCAGTCTAACTTTAGGATAATCTGAAAAAAAACCATCTTTACTTACCAAGTCGAAGGCCTTTGTAAGATCTATGAATGCAATATAAAAAGGCATTTTCTGCTCCCTGCATTTCTCCTGTATTAGAGTCTAAGTGAGAATATCATTTGAGGTATATTTTTATTAAAAATTCAACATCAAAAACATACATAGCAGCGACTAGGGCTGAATTGCGTATGAATTTACAAATAAATTACAATAGTTATTATCGTTATAAAATATGAAAAATTCAAATAAGATTTTCTTAGAAACTAAAATTTTGCGGGAATGGAGCTTTAAAATAAATACCTCAAATACAGAAATATAAGATAATAAATTATTGTGTAGTCACAGATATTACGGTTGTTTTCAGGTGATTTCTTGCTCGTTGCAGCTTTTACTAACCATACAATAGAAATCAATAAAGGCGTAAATGACATTGTTCTCAATGCAGGATTGTAAGTAGAAATTTTCATATACATATTAAGTTGTGTTATGTGGAATTATTTAACAATAGTTTACTTTTCTTAGGTCAAACTTTTAGATGCTACATTCATTCTCGAAAACTCTGTGGCCTTCAAAATATTTGCGATATATATATATATATATATATATATATATATATATATATATATATATATATATATATATATATATATATATATATATATATATATATATATATATATGCATATATATATATATATGCATATATATATATGCATATATATAGGCATATATATAGGCATATATATACCTGTATTTGTATATACTTATATATTTATATAATATATAAAATAGGAATATTATAATATTATTAATAATACAAAAATCGGTAATTAAATAAATAATGTATGGCTTCAAGAAATAAATACCGGTAAGTAATGTTATCTTACAGGTAGACCTTTCTACGCGCTTTTAAAAATTATTCAAATTATTACCCTCATCTCTCCGAGGGCGAGGAGAGGGTAATACTACTGGATTGGATTCCTTCAGATTTTCATAAATCGACAATGTTGCATATGTATCTCAGACCCTCCTCGAATTTGGTGCTGATCGGAAGTAAAATACATATTTTAGAATGTTATTCATATATTTTCCGGCCACAAACAGTCATAGCCAACTCGAGTGGATCGCTCGGCCATGGTTTGACTGGAGCAGATCACCGTGGGCCTTAGTCGGGCTTGTGACAAATTCCACCGGCGTGCAAACTTGCCCGATTGATGGGCTCGCCACGCAAGACTTAATGGTGTTTGGCTTCGTTTGGCCATGGAGGAATTAGTTTAATTCTCCATTGTTTGGCTAGGCTGAGCCGATTCGAGTGGATGGATCACGGGCCATTATTTTATCAGTACATAATTATATATGACGCAACAGATCGAGGGCTTCTTATCTCAGATTATCTTGTTTATTGTGTTAATATGTAATTATAAGTAGAGAAAATTTTGTATTTATTTTAATCATTATTTTTTTTTTCTTTCTTTGTTGTATGTGCAAAAAATGTAATACATACAAATGTTATACAAAAAAAGGCAAAAAATAGACATGTCTAATCGATCTTGGCCCCGTTCTTAACTAACCCCTAATTAGTTCGACATTTTAATATGGCTAAATAATATTCGTAATTAAACCTTGTTGTATAACTCTGACAAATATTTTCAAAATAATCAGATAAACTATGTGGTAATCTATTATTAAATAAATCTGAAATAAAATTCAAAATAAATAATTTATGAAGCTTAAATACGTCTAAAATGTTAGGTTTCTTAAATAAAGATACAGAATGAGCCCCAAATCTAGAAAATATAATACATCTTGCACACATTTTTTGAGTGAGTAATAAAGGTTTTAAATGCGATTCGTGGATGCTAATTTATTCAGTAGTAGGATCCTTCTGGTGGTGATTGGGCAGAAGACAATCACCTGTTATTTTCTTGTATGCTTATATAAAGTGATTAAAAGGCATTTAAATCACTTTATAGATACAAGATGCCATGCGAGATCCAGGAATAATGCACAAAAGAAGACGTACTTTATCTTCTAGATTTATGGCATATATTGTGATATTAGCGCTAGGCCTATATCAAAATCGTGACCTCAGACACGTTAAAAGAATGAATA